AGTTCAAAATAACTCTTTCATTTTAGGAGCTTCACTATTCCAATATTCAATATCAAAGTAATTCAAAATTTCTTTGATAACTTGGTTATTTTATAAGCAACTTTATAGTATACGAGAATAGTTGACGTGTTTATCGAAGCCATTGTGAATTTGACAACCGAATTTGGCGTCTTTCTCCGATTTTTAAAATTTGAATGCGTTACACACGATTCGACGTTAGACCATCCAATCAAAATTCTTCAATAGCATTCAAAAATTTTTGGTGACATCATATCATACCCTGTATTGTTACTGCTTGCTGTTGCCATTACGTAACAATAAGAATTACATCAGCATCTTCCGCCACATGCAATCTTTTTTCTTCACCCTTTGACCTCTCTTCAACGTCTAACCTCTCACGTAAAACATCACTGCGGCAGCTAGTGCAGGTAAAAATATTTGCCATCACAACAAATAATATGCCTACTCTCTCTCCAGACATAGTAACACTTTTTACACTCGATACATGCTACAATATAGGCTGCTAAAGCTAACTACATATAACAACAATAGAGTTTCGCAACATAGCAGACCATGGATCCCGAAGATCGAATCCCAGAACGTAGAAAGAATGCCTTCAAGTCAAAAGGCGTCTTCAGGATAGACGAACTTCGTCGTCGTAGAGAGGAACAACAGGTGGAGATTCGTCGTAAACATAGAGAAGAGTCTCTTTCTAAACGTCGTAATATGAATATCTCAACCACTGCTGCTTCAGATTCGGAAGACGAAGCACAAATAGCAGCCGCAAACGCCCTACTTAAAGAACAACTTCCATCGTTGATCGAAGGCGTGCTTTCTAATGATATCGATGCTCAATTGGCTGCTACTACCAAGTTCAGAAAATTATTATCCAAGGAGAGAAGTCCTCCTATTCAAATTGTCATTGACTGCGGCGTCATCCCTCATTTTGTCGAATTCCTAAAATCTCCTCACACTCTTCTTCAATTTGAAGCTGCTTGGGCTCTCACTAACATTGCATCTGGTTCCCCTGAACAGACCAAGGTAGTCATCGACGCGGGAGCTGTCCCTATCTTTGTCCAGTTATTAGAGAGTAATGTCGCTGATGTCAAAGAACAAGCTGTATGGGCTTTAGGCAACATTGCTGGAGATAGTCCCCCTTGCCGTGATTACGTCCTTCGCGAAGGTGCTCTGCGTCCGTTGTTGCGCATTTTACACGAGCAACATAAAATATCCTTGCTGCGTAATGCGACGTGGACCTTATCGAATTTCTGTCGCGGTAAAACTCCTCAACCCGATTGGACTTACGTATCACCAGCACTGCCTATTCTCGCTAGACTCATTCACTCTACTGACGAGGAAGTGTTAATAGATGCGTGTTGGGCGCTATCTTATTTGTCAGACGGATCCAACGAGAGAATTCAGGCTGTTATTGAATCAGGTGTCTGCAGGAGAATCGTTGAGTTACTCATGCATCCATCGCTTTCTGTGCAGACCCCAGCATTGAGAACTGTTGGTAATATTGTAACTGGAGATGATCTTCAGACTCAAGTGATTGTTAATTGTGGGGCTCTTCCCGCTCTGTTGAATCTTCTTGCCAGTCAGAGGGAGGGTCTTCGCAAGGAAGCATGTTGGACTATTTCAAATATTACAGCTGGTAATTGTGATCAGATACAAGCGGTTATCGATGCGAATATTATTCCGCCACTCATCAACATCTTACAAACTGCGGATTTCAAGACTCGTAAGGAGGCTTGTTGGGCTATTTCGAATGCTACTTCCGGTGGTGTGAACAGACCGGATATCATCAAGTATCTCGTAAATGAGGGTTGTATTAAGCCATTATGTGATCTTTTAGTTTGTCCGGATAATAAAATTATTCAAGTCGCCCTGGATGGACTTGAGAATATTCTCAAAATCGGTGAGGCAGACAAGAGCAGCGAAGGTAATCGTTATGCGCTGCTTATTGATGAAATTGGCGGCATGGAAAAAATTCATAGTCTTCAGATACACGAAAATGCGGAGATTTATAAGAAAGCGTATACTATTATTGACACATACTTTGGCTCGGAGGATGAGGAGGATACGAATATTGTCCCACAAATGGATGCCACTGGTCAATATGCATTCGGAGGAAATATGAGTGCACCTCCAGGTGGTTTCCAGTTTGGGAGCGGTCAAATGTGAGCGTCGGCAGCTTTTTGACTTTAGCTTAGCAGTTCTGGCAAGAGAGTAGATATTTCAGTTTTTTTTTTTTTTTCATATTTCTTGTATTCGGTTTGATGTTGTACAGTCTCATTTACCGCGAATTTGCCTAATACTAAGCCGAAAAACGGCTATAATTTGGATTCAGCAGCAGGTATAAGACAAAATTGGATTGTTAAAAATGAACCCATTTGCAATATTAAATTTTATCTTATTGTCTAATAATTCAGTAACCCAAACAAATTTGTAATTCGCGAGTTTATTCAAGCATTTCCTTCCAATTAAATAAATTAATATTAATATGTCAATATTAATTGAGTTTTAAAATACTGGAATAACTGTATCAGAGTCAAAGAAATTTTGAATTACTTTGATATTGAATATTGGAATAGTGAAGCTCCTAAAATGAAAGAGTTATTTTGAACT